CAGGGGCTCTACCACTGAGCCACACCCCAGCCCCTCACTGGGGGACTCTAGGCAGGGGCTCTACACTCCTAGTCACAGTGTTAGGATTTGGTTTTGGTTTTGGAGAGGATTCCATGTATCTCAACTCATCCTCAACTTCCTAATCTCTTCATCTCCACCTCTCAAGTGCTGAAATTACAGGGCTGGATCACCACACCCAGTTTCTGAGGAATGTTCTTAAATAGAGTGTCATGCTGGACTGTTACTGCTTGCTTTTAATCCCAACGTGCAGGAAGCAGAGGCAGGCAGATCTCTGAGTTCAAGGCCAGCCTGGTCTACATGGTGAGTCCCCCACCACCCCTGGGCTACACAGTTCAACCCTGCCTCAAAACAAAACCAAAATCAAGTAAACAAAATAATAAAAACATACACAAAAAGTAATAGTTTGGGGGGCTGTTCGCAAGTTCTATGCCAAGAGGACACTGTTCTATGAGGACCCGCACCTGCGGGGGTGGGGGAGTGGGAGTGGTCTCTGAAAGGAGACGGACAGTACGTCTGTCTCTAAGCACTGCACAGAGGCAGGGATGCCCCTCGGCATGCGGGTCAGTGAGTCCCTCAGTCTCCTTCCCTGGAAATGTGGGAGCACCCAGGAAGTGCCAGAGGCACTGTGGAGCGTGGGCGGGATCTCCTCCTTCGTGTGAGTCCAAGATTGGGAGTCGTCTGCAGAGAGGCCTGCCATGTGGCACAGTGTGTCCTCTTGTGTTTTCATTGTTGCCAATCCAAACCATGGCCCAGGGAGATGAATGTGTGGGAGCTACGGGATGGGCCTGGGAGCGAGGCTTTGAGTCAGTACCTCGGAGAGCAGCTGGACCCAGAAACTTAGGTTCCCTGGTGGGTGGACCTCTCCAACTACAGCCAAATGGATTTATTTCCTTCCTTTCTTCCTCTTTTGTAAAGATATGGCTGGCCTGGAACCTGTGTTGTTGACCAGGCTGCCCTCCAACTCAAAGAAATCCTCCTGCCTCTGTCTCCCAGGTGCTGTGATTACAGGGCCGCACCACCACACTCAGCTTGTTTGGTTTTCTGAGACAGGGCCTCAGGCGGCACAGACGGGCTCTAGACTCACTAAGTAGCCAATGCTGGCCTTGAACATCTGACCCTCCTGCCCCTACCTACCGTTCTGAATGCTAGAGTCACAGGTGTGTGCCAACAGGCCTGGCGCAGCCACTGGATTTCTAGGGTGCTCAGTGTGCCTGCGTCTGCAGGTGTAAAATTTTGGGCTTGTCTCGAGATGATGTCATCACATATGGTGGTGTCATATGGCAGTTTGCTCAGAAAATAAACGGCTCAAAGGTTACAGGAAGTCCCAGACAGTGCCGGGACACAAGGCTGCTCTGCTGCCTCTCTAAGCGTGTACACATAAGAGGGAAGGAAGGCTGAGACTCAGACCTGAGCTGCCCGGGTGAGACGAGACAGACTGGCTGAGCTGCCTGCAGGCTGTGCCGTGTGCCGTGTGCTCCAGGCTCCCAGCCCTGGGAGCTGTCACTCATGCTGAGGTGGGCTTTGGGGATGCAGCCATCTTGTGTCATTTCTGCTTCTGTCAGTGACCTCAGTACAACTCATGGGTTCACCAAGTTGGACTGTGGTGCTATCCGCACACTGACCTGTCACCGACTGCCTATCTGGGATGAGCAGACGCTTGATCCTATCTTCGAGGAATAGTGTCCTGCACAGGGTGGGCCTGTGACTGCCTTTATGGGCGTCAAGGGGGACTTTTCACTGCAGTTTTTCTTTGGGTTCTCTCTCTTAAAGATTTTATTTTATTTTTAACTGTGTGTGTGTGTGTGTGTAGACACACGGACATGTGAGTGTAAGTGCCCAATGGAGCCAGAGGCACCAGATCTCCCTGTAGCTGGAGTTAAGAGGCAATGGTTAGCCACCCAGTATGGTTGCTGTGAACCCAACGGAGCGTCTCCGCAAGAGCAAGCCACACTTAACCACTGAGCCATCTCTCCAGGCCACCAACGATTCTCTCCACACTCGGGGTTTAAGACGATCTGACTGTACAGTGGACTATTTACTAGGCGAGGCCCAGACTAAGTAAGCCAGGCACAGCAGTGCATACCCTCACCTCAGCACGTTGGAGGCAGAGAATGGACGATCTCTGTGAGTTCAAGGCCAGCCTGGTCCACAAAGCAAGTTCCAGGACAGCCAGGGCTACACAGAGAAACCCTGTCTCAAAAACAACAAAACAAAACAAACAAAAAAACCCTGTGGTCAAGAGGAGACCTCAACGTGAATGGCTTAGCAGATGATCCAGTGACTCAGGAACTCTGTAATGGAGTTGCTGGATGCAGAGGTGTCTTCTGGAACGTTCTCAGATGTGTGAGGAAGGGTGCTTCCGTATGTGAACTGTGGCACCATCTGACAGTGTTGTCCTCTGAGGGTTCAGAGCTGAGGAGCAAGGCAAGCTGGTGTTCCTACAGGCAAGTCAGCTTGCTTCTGGGTGTCCGAGCAAAGCTGTGTGTGTCTCAGCAAGGGTGTGCCCTCAAGAAGGGTGTGCCCAGCTACATCACAGGGCCAGCCTATGTCTTTCACTCTCTCTCTAAGTGATTTGTTGTATTTCTGAGGGTTCAGGTCCTGCCTGGTAGGGTCATTATTGCAGATTCATGTATCTGCATAGGTAAACTGTGTGTGGTACCTACCATGGTACTTCTAAGTCTTCTTTTTTTGCTTCAGTACTGAGGATTAAACTTAAGGTTTCCAACATGCTAGTCAAGTTGAGCCAGGCCCCCAGGCCCTCACTGAGAGATTCTAGGCAGGGGCTCTACCACTGAACCACACCCCCAGCCCCTCACTGGGGGATTCTAGGCAGGGGCTCTACCACTGAGCCACATCCCAGCCCCTCACTGGGGGATTCTAGGCAGGGGCTCTACCACTGAGCCACACTCTCAGCCCCTCACTGGGGGATTCTAGGCAGGGACTC